GCGCACCAGCTAACTGCCCCCTTCTGAGTGCAGAGCGCGGTCCTCCAGCGACTGCACTAGCAAAGTGGCCCGCTGCCACCGCGTTATTCACCTAGTGGAGGCGGCCTGATTTACTGGCGACTTCACAAACCCAACTCCACGCTGGAGCATTTGCATGGCTCTGTTCTCGCCTCGAGGAGCAGCCACTAGCGAACCCGGTGGAGCAGCTTGCTGCGAGAAGGAGCCGGGAGGGAAACTGTGGTACCTTATTTTACTGTAATTGCAAAAGGAACGATGTGCCAGAGATTTATATTTAGAAGTTGTATGTTTCTACTTTTATGTAAATGGAGCAATTAGGGCCTGTCTTGCTGCTGCTAACTCCAATGCGTGTGCATTGCTGGGGAGCTGGTGTTTTCAATCACAATTAGTGAGCTGGTCAAAAAACAAAGTTCGTTTAAGGATAAGAGCTCAATTGTGCGAATGGGGGAGAGGCCAGCGTTCGTGTGCCGGCCTGTGGCTTGCGGTGACACCTAGCTTAGGGCCATGGCCAACCCTATAGTGGTGTTTACCTGTGGCAGCAGCTGTCCCTGTTCAAAGTTGGCATAGATGAGGAAGCAAGAATGTTCACTTTTCTTCTCAAGCAAACCGTCTGTCCTTCAGCTTTCATCCACGCTATTAATTGGTGTCTTTCCTCACTACTCCTTGAGCAAGGAGACAGGCCCAGAAAAGCGGAGCAGGGGGGCGGGTGGGGACATTTTTCAGGGCTCTATTATTTTAGCTGCTGCTCACGGATTGCTGTTATTCAGTCAAAAATATAAGCCAGGAGACGTGAACACCCCAAGCAGGTGACTGGGATGTTGTTCTCTGATTCAGCTGAAATGACACAAGGCTGGGGGTTCAGAGGCATGGACAAGAGTGCTGACGAGTCCGGGTGTTTTCGTTCCTTCCTATGAAAAAATCTGTTTCCAAAAACGCATGATTTCTGGTTCATCCCGTCTGGGAAACCAAACATAAAACGTGACTATGGAGAGAAATCAAAAGGTGTTCCCAGCAGCTAATGTGTTATTCTGGGGCTCAGGCCGGAAAACCTGGCCTTGTTGGTGAGGGGTGACTCCCTCAAGAGGCAGCTCAGAATCCAGAGAATGTGGGCAGGATCCAGAGTACTATCTGCTGCAGGGAGACTGCGAGAGTCTGTGATGAAGAAGGGTCTCATCAAATGGTTGACATTGAACATGGGATTGGCAAACACGGCCTGTTTCCTGGACAGCCACAGCCTGTACATAACTTGGGCTGAATGTTAGGTAGAAAGAGTTGGGACAAAGGAGAAGCAGTGTTTCACATTCAAAATTGAACTGGGAAGCTGTTTTGCTTTCACGTTAAGTCAATGAATGAATAGCTCTAAACAGAGAGAGAGAGGGAAACATTAAAAAGTCCCCTGAAATTCATTGAGAACAACAGGGTCAGAAATGGTTAATCTGAAACTTGACTCCTAAGCTTCACATTTCTTTCAGAACCACTGGAATATCCCACAAGGCCTTCTGCTTCGTGGGATATTCCACAAAAACAGTGGGATACTCTGTTTTTAGAGTATTTGGAAATGCTGTTTTCTGAAGCAAGGGAACCTGAATACTAGAACTAAAACAACTGCGGAAAAGAGAAGAAGGAAAAAAACCCAGTAAGTAACCTATTACTCTTCATTCTACAGCAGTGGTTCTCAGCTGGGGATATTTTGCTCCCTGGGGGACATCTGGCCATGTTTGAAGACATTTTGGTTGTTACAGCTGGGAGGGAGGTTCTACTGATCATTAGTGGGTAGGGGCCAGGGATGCTGCTGAATATCCTACCATGCACAGGACAGCCCTCAACAACAAGAAATTATCTGGCCTACAGTGTTAATTGTTCTGCAGTTGAGATACCCTGATTTCATGTTATAATTGTAAAGTTCACCCAACCTTCTCCCTATCCATCTCCAAGAGGCCTTGGGAACCAAGAAAAACATTGCAACTCTACAAAATACTAATAATTCAAGTGATTCTGCTGCCTCTTGCATCTTATGTTCTCTGATTACTGGAGACTACAGATACAATGCTCCTCTTGGGCAACATTGTTGCTCCAACCAACTTTCATGTATGGCCTCAATACATTTTCCTGCTGGCTTTTTGTTCTAAACCAAAGCAGAATCTTGGTGGCCAGCAACAAAATGAGATGGGCTGGCCTACACCCAAGTTGTTAGGAGACAAGAGACTCATGCAAAAGAATAAATGAATAAAGGATTGAGTTGTTCATTTTAGCAATTCAGTATCAGATAAATCCATGCAAGAGAGAATTCCCTGAAGTAAAATTCACAAAAGTAAGATTACCCTGCCTTTCTCCTAGAGCAAATGAATATGTTGTAGCTTGATTTTATTTGTTTAATACCTTAGGAGAATGACATACAATCAATATCCAAAGAGATAAAACAGTGTTTTGCTAAATCCTAATGGCTGTTGCAAGCAACATTATATTCTCCAAACTTCCTTTGTAAAAGGAAGTGGTGTGGCTGTTGAAGGAAGGCCATGCCCTTCCAGCCCTTCCAGGTGTTGCTCTCCTGTGAGGACTGGGGAAACTATTGTGAAGGATTCCACCTCATGGAAAATCATAAGAGTAATCAACAAGTATTGGTGAAATGCACAAAAAGGAAGTTGCCTGGATGAAACTAGCTTAGAACTGAAATCCTGTTGTCCAGACAGTGAGGGCTTACTTCCCCGGTTCATTACTTACCTCCTGAGTGACTTGGGTCCTCCAGAAAGGAAAGGGTAGGTCAGAGATCATTTTAAGATGAAGGGAGCTATGAGGGGAATGTCTTAGACACTCTGACGCCGTGTCATCTCTTCCAACTTGTGAATCACCGTCTCCTCAGGTAAATGGTCATTTTGGAACCAAAGGCCTCAATCAACTTTCAAATGATTCAGAAATGCCTGGAGTTCTTCCCAAGAAGTAACCAAGTGGTACATGTAAAAAAATTCAATATTGAGAGAAATACTCGTTTACAACCACTATAGAAAAACATACATTGAAGAAAACCCAGACTAACTCAACCTGAAGAAATATGCCCTCAACATTCTTCCTGACCAATATATATTTCAAAATTGTTTATCATGACTCAGTTCTAACCCAATCAGGAAACATCTGCTTCAACAATTTATCTTCCTATTGCCCCAGAAGATTGTTGAAAAATACTCTCCAAGGAACACGGAACAGATTGTTGTAATCATTTTTCTCACCTGGATCCCCTTGGGTAATAAGTTCCATTGCTGACTTGAAGACATGGTGGTTTAGCACGTAGATTCCATTGGACTGATAAGAGGGCAGCAATCTTGCTTTGCATCCAGTTTTGCCTGTCCACAAAGATCCCCCCACAGCCTGTTCCCAAATCGCTGCTTGGAGGGAAAAAGCCCCACAGAAAAGCCTGGGGCCAGTCCTGTGTGAATTTTTTTTTAAATCAGTGAATTGCTGCCTCCCTCATGTCCTAATAGAGTCCAAAGGTTCTGCCCTCTGTGGGAGCAGCTCCAAGGCATGGTCTGAGTGCCGCTGTTCACGAGTCCTGCGGGCTCGCGTGGACACTGGCGGCAGCTCAGCTAGGTGAGCAAATATTTCCAGGTGGCCCACTCTAATTTTAGGAAGGTCAAGTTTGCAAAGGTGAAATAGTAAGTAGGACTTCTGTCACTTTATCAGATTGGAAAAGCAAACTGTAATTAAGCACAATATTCTTAGAGTTTAAAATGGAATCACTGAATTCTACAACCAGCTTTAAACTCTCAAAAATAACTTATGGCTACAATCCCTCTTCTACTCATTGAGTTCCTCTTAAAAGATGGAAGAGTGTAATGAATGAGGGAGGAGCCTCTATAGTAGAAGGAAAAAAACACTCCAGAAAACCTCTCTCCCAAAGGCCAGGGGTTCATTTGTGATCCCTTAATGAAACAGGGGCAGAAAGCCAACAAGGTAATTTTGGCCAACTCCAACATCACTTAACTATGAGCTGAGAATAATTAAAATGGTGCTCCCTGTAGAAAAGAGTTCACCCAATAAGTTTCCCAAATTTCAAGGAGCTTTTGTTTTATTAGATGCTGTTAGCTTCATGTTAGTCACAGGAAAAAAAAAAAAAATGCCCACATACACACGCACAACTAAATGTAGTCAGTTTGCTCAGCTGCTGCTGACGTCACTGCTGCCCACTAGGAGTGAGTTACTGTCATAACCCCTCTTTTATTAATCATAGGCTGGAGGAAGCACAAAGTGGGTGACATCATTAGGCAAAGGACTGGCTAACTCATGCTCCAATTTACTCAGCTTTATTATAACATTTCTTGAGTGTCATATGAAAGTGATTACCATTTCACACTTTCCCCATCTGAGCAATCATCCCTAACCTTCAATTCGAATTCCCAGAGAGAAGCTTAGCTTTTCAGATGGAGGTGCATAAAGGCCAAATCTCACCAAGGGTCCTTTTCCCAAGAAGAAATGTCCTCCTCAGAACGCCTTCTTCCTGGGCTTGAAACAGAGGCAGTTTCTAGAACTGTAGGAAACTAAATAATTCTCCATTGTCTCTGGCCCTGGCAGTGGCCTCTGACTGGGGAAGATCCTGATGGTCCAGACGGGTGCAGCAAGTATGGCCTCCTGGTGACCAAGGGCACAGGCACCTCAGTGCTCTGAAGTATGAAAAATACCATTTGAAGTTGAGGTAAAAGGTAGTGGTTGAATGTATGGGTCCTACAGTCAGACTGCCTGGGTTCAAATTTAGGATTCACCATTTTCAAACTGCTGGGCAAATGACTTGGTTCCCCGATTAGTATAATAAATATGGATAAGAATAGCACCCCCTTCGTAGATAGGATTGTTGTCAGGGATAGCTCAGTTAATTTTGTGAGCCACATAGAATGTGCTGGTACGTAGTCACCGTTGCTTACTGGTATTATTTCTCTTCCTTTTTTAAAAAAGCTTTATTGGCTGACCTGAACTCCCTGCATTCTACTTTGTAGAGCCTTGGAAAGATGGGCAAATGCTCTGTGACAAGCCACCAGGGCAGACTGGTACTGGGAAGACCCTAGTATACATTTGGCTCTGTCCCTGGCTGGAAAGTTACAAGTCAGTCTACCTCTCTGTGGTCCAGTTTCCACACCTACTACTCTTTATCCCATGAGGAACTTCTGGAAACTAAAAAAGGTACGTAATCAAAACCAAAAGAAGACATTGGTTCAAGGATCCTCAAGAGCTCAGCATTGTGTTTCTGTTGTTTCTTTTTGAACAGACAAAATTCTCGGAGTGTTCAGTAGCTACACACACACACACACACACACACACACACACCCCACACACACAAAAGTAGCATCTCCACAATGTTGCATGCATCAGGAAAAGCAAATGTTTTTACCACAGGCTGGGCTATGCTTCATCCTCTTAAATTAGCATCTTGAGGTCTTTGCAGAAGCCATTTTATAGATGCCTACACTCATCCCCTTACTTGCATTCTCATCCTGAGGGTATTTTAAGGAGTCAAAATAAAGTTTACTTAAGCGTGTGTGAGAGACAGAATGATAGACCAAAAGAGAAGGCTGGGGCTTTGTAATATTTAGATAATGATGAAACTGAAACGGCTGATGCAGAGTGCAGTAATTATATAGGATACTTTATTATTTGGGTTCACCTTTGCTCAGTAGTGAATTATAAGCACTCTACTAGGTGAGAGGTTTGGCTTCCAAAATGAACAGCTGGTGCAGGATGGAACTACCAGACCATGTCACATGGCAAATAAAATAATAATACATAGAAACTTCAGGATCTCCTAATTGGAAGCTTCCTTTAGACAACAAAAGATGCCAGGATATCTGCTGCCCCCTAACTGGTACCATGACGAAGAGCACATAACTTTTTAAGAAGCAAACTCTGATTCAGATACAGTTAGTTGGCGGCTGAGTCAACCTCCTAAGTTATAGTTGTGAATTTGGCCATTTCCGTAAACCTGTTTGTTGCGATTAAGGCAAAGCTATTGGGTAGAGTCCTGTTCTGTTTCTGTCTTTTCCTGATGGAGAGGCACCCCTGATTTGCAGCAGCTGCCCAGGTAGAACAGGTTGACCAAAGCACACATCACCAACACAGACTGTTAATCACGTGACTAGATAAAACTCTCACAGTGTCATTCAAATTTCCATATCCTTCTTCTATGGAAATTTCTGAGAGACCCAGAAAAGGAGCGTAACCATGAGGGAAAGTGAATCCTGCACACTTGAATATTCCAGACTTACCAGGTGATCCAGCTGTCCATCAGTGGGAAGAGGCTGAGGCGCCCCCTTCTGGTGCATCTGAATAGGAATAAACTCTGGGTAGAAAGAAATCCTGTAGCAACTGGGTACCTTCTCTGTAATTTGTCCACTTCCAATATCAAAATTGTTGCTTTTTAAATGACATCCATCCTAAGTTTAAAAAAAAACATATTATTTGTATAAAATGTGGAAGACACAGAAGAAAAAATGTAAATCACATATCATCATCCCTCCCAGAAATAATCATTATTAAAATTTCTGTGCGTGTGTAAAACAAAATTGCAATCCTACTGTAATATTGTCCTGTATACTGATATTTTTCACCTATCAATGTATGTTGAGCGGTTTCAATGGTCAAATTATTTCTTGAAAATATTAATGACTGGGGAGTAACCTTTCAAATAGGTGTGTCTTTATTTTTAAACCAGTCCACAATTATTGCATATTGAAGTCATTTCCCAAATTTTGTAAGTGTAAGTATTGCATCCATCCTTTTATGTGTTTAAATGCATCTCTTATTATTTCCTTGAGATGAGTTCCTAGAAGTCGAATCACTGGATCTAAAAATGTGGACATATTTGTGCTGGACGCTGTGGGTCACGCCTGTAATCCCAGCACTTTGGGAGACCAAAGCAGGTGGATCACGTGAGGTCAGGAATTCGAGACCAGCCTAGCCAACATAGTGAAACCCCATCTCTACTAAAATTACAAAAATTAGCCAGGTGTGGTGGCACACGCCTGTAATCCCAGCTGCTCAGGAGGCTGAGGCATGAGAATCACTTGAACCCAGGAGGCAGAGGTTGAAGTGAGCCGAGATGGCACCCCTGCACTCCAGTCTGGGCGACAGAGTAAGACTTCCTCTCAAAATAAATAAATAAATAAATAAATAAATAAATAAAATTAAATAAGATAAATAAAAAATAAAAATGTGGACATATTTAAGATCTTTATATATATAACCAGCTGCCCTCCTGAAAGTTTTTGCCTGTTACATTCCAACCAATAGTGTAAGGGCATGACTCTTTCCCTGTGTTTTGGGATGGATGTTATTATCAAAGTTCTCTCCGACCCAGGCCAAATACGGTATATGCTTTGTTTTAATTTGAATTTTTAAATTATTATTTTAAATGGACATTTTGTTGTCCATTTGAACAACTTTCTTTTGAGTCACTGTTCATGTTCTTTGCCCATTGTTTCTTTTATTAATAAGAATCCTATTCTCATTCTTATATTTTAAATGAAATTTCATTGTATATATGTTTATATTATCTATAGTAAAGTATATTTTATTATTAATGAGAACTCTTTTTATATTAAGACTCCTACCCTACTGTCTGCTACATATTATTGTAATTTTTCCCCTGTTAGTTCCTGGCTCTTTAATTTTGTTTGTATTAATAGTGTTTCAGGCCAAAAGAGAGTTTACATTTTTATATGAACTCATCTAGGAATTGTTATCTTTTTGCTAAGGCTTCTCCATCAGGAAATCAAATTGATACTCACATATATTTTTCACTAAACATTTTTTGAAACTTTATTCTTTAATCCAACATATCTGGAATATATTTTGGCATACAGAACAAGGAAGAGCTATGACATTTTAGAAATTTTTCCAAAGATTGAATGAGCACCGTTTACGAACTTTTCACTTTGGAACGCCATTTTCATCACCTGTTGAATGTGTATAAATATGAACACTAATTTCATTCGATTGATCTGTAGTGTGTTGCTAAGCTTGTGATCCCGTTCCATTCATATCGTTTCCCAGTTTTAATGTTGTTCTTTTAACTCTAGTTCTGTCCTATCCCAGGTCTTTTTATGTATGTGACTCAAGTCCACAACCCAACAGTTATCTTGATTAAAATATAATTTCTTAATGCCTGGGTTTTATAACAACTGTAGATAATTCTAGGTTTTTCTCTACCTGTAGTTACTCAAAGTTTGTCATTTAATGGTAGCATATTATCGAACAGTGTGTTTGTTTGTTTGTTTGTTGAGACTGTGTCTCACTCTGTCGCCCAGGCTGGAGTGAAGTGGCGTGATCTCGGCTCACTGCAACCTCCATCTCCTGGGTTCAAGCATTTCTCGTGCCTCAGCCTCCTGAGTAGCTGGGACTATAGGTATGCACCACCACACCTGGCTAACTTTTTGTATTTTTAGTAGAGACGGATTTTCACCATTTTGCCTGGGCTGGTCTCGAACTCAGGCAATCCGCCTGCCTTTGTTTCCTGAAGTGCTAGGATTACAGGCATGAGCCACCGTGCCTGGCCTTAAACAGTGTTTTTAATTTAAAAAGCTTCTTCCTAATTCTAAAAATAATAGGTATTCATTTTTAAAATACAAACACCATCGAGGAAAAAAGAAAAGAAGGAAGAAAGAGAAAGAGGAGGGAGGTAAAGAGGAAACAAAGAAAGGGAGAGAAGGAGGAAGGAAAAAGAGGGAGGAGGGACAGAGGGCTCCTACAATTTAATCATCCAAAGAAAACCAGAAACAAAATTATGGTTTATGTCTTTCCAGAAATGGAAAGATCTTTCCTCATTTCAGGAACATTTTCTTCTATTGCATTTTTGACAAGTGTTTTTGTTTGTTTCTAAAATTTTCTTGAATGTGTAAATTGTTGATTTAAAGATTTAGTTTTTGAGCGTGCTCTTTAGCTTTCTTTGCTCTTTGTTTCGTTTCTTCTTGTTAGTTGAGGAATTTATGCATAAGCCCTATGTTGCTGTTTATTCTTTTTCTGTTAACTCATTTTTGAATGGAATAAGACAGCAGGTCTACTGTTTGCCCTAAAATAGCATAGATGTGTTCTCATCTATCCTCCTTTCTACTTCTCTCAACACCATCTACATCTTATCTAACGGTTGGGTGCTGATGGCCTCTGGGGCCTAGGACAAGAGCTGAGGTCATGGGTTGGAACTTTCTGTTGACCCTGCAGCCAGGTCCTGTCTTGCCAAGTTAGGGGCATGTCCCTTCTGTTGGAGGAATATGCTTCAGGTGTCAACCTTTTCCCTAGTTTTGGAATGGACTGGGTTAGAAAGATGTTGGAGTTTGCAGCCTTTTTCTTCTGTACTGATGCATGCGTTTAATTCTTCATCATGTCTCAAGCTGACAGCTCTCGCTCCTCATTTCCTTTTCTTACCTGTGACAAAGCCTCTGTTCCTCCATCCTTAGATGTAAGCTTATGCCACCATTAACAAAACTTAGGGAGAGAAAACTAAAATCACCCATGCACTCCAGGCTTGGTAGATGCTCACACCTGACTCATTCTCTTGTTTTCGGGTCCTTCCCCCAACAACTGCCATAGCTGTGTGTTGGCTGGCTGCTTCCCGGTCCCTAGTTGGACCCTGCTTCTCTGCAGTCCCTTGCATACAGACTCTCTCTGTGAGACACATTCTCCTCCTCTTGGGCAGGACCTAAAACAGCCTCAGGCCTGCCTTCCTTCCCATGCAGACCCTATTAGGTCCACAGGAAACTCATGCATTTCTAGCCCCCTATTGATAGGAATGTAGTTTCTTAATAAACATAGCCCCTTCCTCTTTTTATCCTTTACCTTGTCTTAGACCAATTTACACATTTATTCAGGCATGAGTTAGGCATCAGTGTGCAGGGTCCCTCAACTGCAGAAGGTGCTGTTGAAGCCTATGTTAGTTATCTTCCCTGGAGTTGAGGAAGATTAATTAACCCTGCCCTGTTGGGAGAGCTGGGACTCACACACAACTGGCAGGTGCTTCTTCTGCAGGCGTCTCCCAAAATTCACCCTCCCTCCACCAACCTGCCTTGCTCTCCACTCTCTTAAACTTTTATATTCTCAACATCTCTCCAGAGTCTTAAAATAATGGAACCTGTTCTCAGATATCTACTTTAAAGATTCCTTTGCAGTGGTCTCTATCCCCTTCACTCTGGTATCTGATAGCTGTCTGGTATTTTGGCCCCTGGGTTAGAATTTCAATTTTAAAACATTATACTAGTTTTAAAACACTAAATGTTCGTCTTCTATTATTGCTTGAGTGAGAAATAAGCCTTTATTGATTTTGAGGCATCATCATTTTGGGATCTATTTCTTCTAGCAACCATTACCTTCAAGATAGAGAAGAGCAGAAGATGAGAATTTAAAGGCAGAGGCTTGGGAACCTTCATATTTATGAGGTGAGTGGAGGAAGAGGAGCCTGTGAGGAGCTTTGAGGAGTCAGATGTGTACGAGAAAAACATGTAGGGAACATTGTCAAGGAAGTCAAGAAAAGTGAGAGTTTGAAAATGTCAGATGACACGATGTGGTCAAGTAAGACACCGACAGAAAGGCCCAATAGATCTGGCAATATTCTAATCAGTGACAGTGCTAGCCTGAGCAGATCAGCTTTGTTACTTGGGGACAGATTTTAGTGGGAAGAGGAGGGGATGAGAAGACTAAGGAGATGTACTCTGTCAAACGTTGTGAAGAAGAAATTGAGTAATGACTAGAGAAGGAGACACTGAGGATTGAAAGAAAGCCCTTTCAAATTTTAAGATAGAGATTTAAGCTTCTCTTCTGAGAGAAGTGAGCTGCTAAAGGTAAATAACTTTACAATATGAGAGAAGACAGAGAAACAAATTTCCTCCTGAAGTAAGAAATGATGGATTGATTTCAAAATAGACACATGTTCACACCACTCCTTACCACCTCCATCACTGTCCCTCGGGCCAACCTGCCATTCTTATTGATCTAAATATACCACCACACCTGAATAATTGCAACAGCCTCCTAGCAAATCTCCCTATTCCCATCCTTGCCCCCGTAGACTACTGGGAATCCAACACTCAAAATGACCCTTTCAAAAATGCAAGGCAGATGAAGTCTCTCCTTTGCTCCTACCCTCCCGTGGCTTCTCCACTCACTCACTGTTGTGGCCAGAGAGAAGCTACGTGACCTGGCCACATCCCCGATCATGTCTTCTCTGTTTCTCCTTGGTCTCTGTCTTCTTCACATGTGATCCCCCTTGCTTTCCTTCCAACAGAATGAGCTTGTGCATGTCCCAAGCCTTTGTGCTTGACATCTTCTCTGCCAGGAATTTCATCATTTTCCATCAGACACCCTCGCAGCTCACTCCCTGACTTTCTTGTTATTTGTTTCCAGATCACAGAAGCCTTTTTGGACCACTCAATATAAAACAGCAACGGACTCCACCCTGGTACACCCTAACACCCAGCCTGTTTCATTTTTCTCTGTTATATTTATCACCATCTGAGGTATTTGTTTATTGTCTATGTGACAACACTAGAATGAGGGTAGAAACATTGTTTTGTTAACAGCTAAATCTTGGCACCTAAAACTGTGTCTGGCATGTAGTACTTGCTCAGTAAATATGTTTTGGTTGATGAATTAATCCTAAGCATAGGTGGTAGGATTAGCCTTAAATTAAACAAGAAGAAAAAAATAAAGGATGGGCATAGAGAGACTTGATAATAACTGACAGAGAAGGGAATTAAGAGAATTTTCATCTCATTGATTTTACAGTAAAAAAAAAAGGTAAGCTCATCTGCTGAGAGAGATGTCAAACCTGGTGGAGGTGGTGGAGTGGAAGTTTGAAAAGATAGGTGAGGCCGGGCGCGGTGGCTCAAGCCTGTAATCCCAGCACTTTGGGAGGCCGAGACGGGCGGATCACGAGGTCAGGAGATCGAGACCATCCTGGCCAATACGGTGAAACCCCGTCTCTACTAAAAAAAAAATACAAAAAACTAGCCGGGCGAGGCGGCGGGCGCCTGTAGTCCCAGCTACTCGGGAGGCTGAGGCAGGAGAATGGCGTAAACCCGGGAGGCGGAGCTTGCAGTGAGCTGAGATCCGGCCACTGCACTCCAGCCTGGGCGACAGAGCGAGACTCCGTCTAAAAAAAAAAAAAAAAAAAGAAAAGATAGGTGAAATGTTATAACAGTGGCAGAACCAGATAGGAGATGAGGGGGATTCTGAACACCTCCAGGCATTCTGGAAGACACTGAGACTGAATGCACTGAAGTTTCAGGAACACGAAACCACAGTTGTTCTGTCTTACCCAGAAGTGTTCTTCACTGTAAGGTGTAGAAGAGAGAAGGTCAATTGTCTAGATATAGCACTGCTGTCCAGTAGAACTTTCTGCAATCATGAAAAGGTTCTACAATCTGTACCGTGCAATCGAGTAGCCACTGGCCACGTGTGCTTATTGAACATTTGGAATGTAGCTATTGTGACAGGCTGCACACTACACAGCACACGTCGGGCGATCCAGACTCAGGTTCTGGCAGAGCAGGAGCTGAGAAAGGACAACAAAGAATGGGAGTAAGAGGAAATGTCAGTAAAGAAACTGTGTGGTGCCCTCAGGAATCTGAACCAGGTGAAGAAAGATGTGAAGCCAAAAAGCTACTGATGGTTTGTGAAAAATAGCATCATTCAGGAATCAGAGATATGGATGATGTGAAATGCAGGTATGTTGAGAAAGAGTGAGAGCTGATGGGCATTGGGTCTCAGAAAATGAAATGCTGAAGATTAAGATTTCAAAGGACAAACCATTGTGAATAGTAAAACAGCCCAGGGCATGGGCATGGGATATGTTTCTTATGTGGAGTGGTTGTGAAAGTCTTTGGTGTTAAGGGATTCAAAGGTCTGTAAGAGAGGGTTGGCTGAATAAAAAACCTGGGGTAGATGTCTGGCACAGAGATCAGGCTGTTTTTATATGAAGGTGGAAATACGATGAAGATGATGTTCTGTTAGTTATCATTGATCAAACACTCATTTCTGCTAGGCATGGAGCAAAGTGCTTAATATATATGTAATACCCTTTCACCCTTCAAATAACATTTTGAAATAGGTTTTCTTATTATTGCCAATTACAGATGAAGCCACTGAGGCTTGGAAAGACCAGATAACTTGTCCAAGGATATACCCTGAAGGTGTGATGGAGCTAGGATTTCAATCCAGGCAGCTTGGCATGAAAGCTCATGCTGACCGGGCACAGTGGTTCATGCCCGTAATCCCAGCACTTTGGGATGCCCAAGACAGGTGGATCACTTGAAGTCAGGAGTTCGAAACCAGTCTGGCCTACATGGTGAAACCCCATCTCTACTAAAAATACAAAAAATTAGCTGGGCTTAGTGGTGCTACTGGGTAGTCCCAGCTACTCCGGAGGCTGAGGTAGGAGAATCGCTTGAACCTGGGAGGCAGAGGTTGCAGTGAGCCGAGATTGCACCACTGCACCCCAGCCTCGGCAACAGAGTGAGACTCTGTAACAAAAAAAAATTTAAAAAGACAAGAAAGCTCATGCTGTCCAGCACTAAGCTCCATTACTTTCTTCTTTTTTCTTTATGTCTTTCATGTTCTCATCTGAGCCTTCATACTTGCAGCAGCAGTGGTCAGCACTAAGAGTCCTTAGTGGCTAGCACCCACCCCCATCCTCATCCATGTCTCCCAGATCAAGGAGCTGCAGGAAAACATGCGTGCTTGATAGGAGGTGGAATGTCCGTGGAGGACTCCATGTCAGAGAAGTTAGCTGGTGGGCAAGGTTAGAGTGGAAACTGAGAGTTATGGCAGCGTATTACAATGGAACAAGTGGGAACGTAGGAAGGGGTGCAGTGGGAGGAAGAAGGCAGGGATACGGAACCCACTGGATGAGATTCCTGGAAAGGAGAGTCCTTGGAAGGCCGTCATTTGGGATGGTGCAAAAGGCTGACAAGCTAATATTAATTGACCTTAAACTTTCATACTTAAAATATAATATGTATGGCATGCACAATACTCATATCCCATGCCAGGAGAAACATTTAAGTGTAATGCTTACGTATATTAACAGATATTAGAATGGCACTGAACAGGAAGCATTTTTAAATGTAGGAGTGCCTGGTTAGCATAGTAGCATTCAACCGGTTCTTGCTACACCTGCTTCCGTGAGAGTATCATACAAGATAAAAACTTCCAGAAGCACTGAGATAAGAGTGGGGATGAGCCTTAGTCTACATACACAGGTGTTCAGGATAGGTAATTTACTTTATTTTTCTGTGATTGCATTAAATTCCTACCCTGAGCCTTCAATTTGCCATATGCTAGTAAATAAGCCTCACTCTATTTGAAGTCCTCACATTTTTTTTCTGTACCTAAATTCAGGAATCGGGGAGGGTGGGTGGAGTAGAGCAGAGGGATAAGAGAGCTTGTCTAGTTTTTTCAGTCTTGGGCTAGAGAGGGTAACATGTGACTTAGCACCTATCTTACCCGTGTCCATGCAGAACCCTTCTTCCTTCCTGTTCTAGGCAGATCAGAGCTAACTTGTTCCTCATTGTTAATTGTGAGGCCCTTTATTATAATGTTTTTCAAGTTCTGGTCAGTATAATAAGGCAAAAAATAAAAATAATGAGCAAAACGCAACAAAGCGGTGACAAAATTATGTTTATTTCTTAGTAGGTGGTGTGAGTGTGCTACAGGTATAATTTTTCAGTGCACAAATTCATATGCAAAACACATGACATTTCTTTAGTTCTGAAATCAACACAAATCAGTGGGAAGTCAAATCTCTCTTAAGGTTTTTTACCCTCCCCTCGTTCTAAAGTTTCCTGGTCTTGACAAAGGGAAGTTCCTCTGTTCACAAGTCCCCACTGGCTAATGCTGGGGTGCCAGTGCTCTCCGAGAGGCCCCACAAGGACTGAGACCTTGCTGCTCTCCTAGGTACTGCCCAGCTGCCTGCAAAGCTCCACTGCTCCTGTGAGGGTTTTGCCAGCCTCCCACCCACCTCTTCCTCTCCTCCCTTGGCCATGTCCAGTCCATTTTCCTTTCTGCACTGCATGTGCCAGGTACCCACCACAGCCTGTTCCAAATTTAGTAAAAGTCTGCCCTGCAGAAGCATCCGAGGCAAAGATACACAAAGCCCTGGCTTTCTACCTTTCATACAGGAAAAAGGACAATACAAAAGATAAACACAAACCAATATTAAAACAAATTGTATTCACCATTGTGTGACCACAACAAACCCTAACTACGTAAATTTGCAAGCTTACATAAGAGTTCAGCCAGATAACAGAACACAAATATTTTAAAAATAACAACATTTTATAGGACAAAATAATATACAATACCTAGAAGTTATTTTAGAAGATAGTTGTTTCTCTACTCTCCATTTTACAGATGAAGGAAAAAGTGCATAAACAGAGTGACTGGTCCAATTTTACACACCTATACAGTGGCAGAGCTAGACTACAAACCCAAGTCTATTCAGTTCCAAACTCCATGCACTCAATCACTATAGCATACTGTCATAATAAAGCGATATATTCCAGTATTATGTTATAGTGATTGGGTGATATATGGAGTTATGGAGTGCTATGTATCTATCTCTCTCCTGCATTTGTTGAGCATGTACTACTTGCCAGGCACTTTGCTAAAAACTCTTCAAACATGGTATCTTTTAATCCTACAGTATCCACTCACGTAGGTGTTATTAATCCATTTGGCACCTGAGGCAGATGAAGAATGTGATGAACTAATTCTTCATTCATTCTTCAACTGTGATCTGGCGTGTGCCATGAATACCATTAAAATTGTTCTGACAAATATTACCAATAATCCTCTCTACAGAACACTTCAGTGTTCTCTTTTTGAGTGATTGCATCTACTTCCTGGTTTTAACTGATAATATTGGTGATTCCTAATCTCTCTCTGGCAATACCTTTTATCTGAGTTTCAGACTCATACAAACAACCGTATATTGATTTTATCCATTCAGGAGTCTTTTAGGCACCTTTAACTCAACATGTTAAAATTTAACCAACTTCTTTCTCCCTAAACAAGCTCCTACTTTTGAATTTTGATCTCAGTTATTGGTGTCCAATCACCCAAGAGTTCTTTCTTGACTACTCTCTTTTCAGTCTGCACAACTAAATACAATCAATAACCACATCATAACCATTTACCTTATATGTAGTTTTAAAGGATGATAAAATAGGACATTGTAGGTTAGGACCTTAACCCAGGTTCTAGCACAATGAAAACTCTCAAGAAATGTTGGCTATTGTTTTTACTAATATATAAGCAATGACAATAGCCACTAGCACAACAGAGACACACTGACTGTGCCACTGCAGACCATGGCCATTAATTAGATGCTGGATCTTTTTAATTAATGTCCCTATTGTGTCCTTTTTTCTTTTTTCTTTCATATTTCCATATCTTTGCTCTGTATTTAGTGAGACTTCTTCAACTTAACCCTCTATCCTTCCTTTTACTTTTGTTTTAA